CCAGTGTTTGTTTGGTTTTTTTTAATTTAAATTTTCTGTACTCCAAGCCATATTAGCCAAAACAAATTCCAAATCCACAAATCAGTCCAGAACCATAAATGGCCCTACTACCAGCAAAAATCCTCCACCCCCAGCTGGGGCTTTAGATCTTTCCAAAACCTTTGGAAATATCCTACTTGCAGGCCCTAGCCCAGAGGCTTGGGGTTCAGATGCTCCCAGGTTTTGCTTACCCTCAGCCATAAGGCCCCAGGGGCAAGCCAGGGAGGAGTCTCCCACGTCCGTAAAGTGGACTTAAAGCCACAACCTTCCCACTCCAGCAGCTAAGTGGGAGGCTTACTATACATTACCTTGGCAGGTACTATCCCCATGCCAGGAAAGCAGTTTTCCCTGGTGCAACTAGGAAGACCGCCTCTGTGGTCACGGTGTTTCCCTTGCCAGGTAAGTATAGACTACGCTTGGTCTGAGCTGACAAGATGCCGTGTTAGTTTAGTTCTAGCAACTTCTGAGACCCACTAGAACCTGGGATGCAGGGGTCAGGCTGTCCCATTTCCCTGCTCCCCAGCAACACATGTGGGCACCCCTAATCAGGGTGCTCCCACAGTTTGGTAAAAATCTTTATTTGCTCTTTATTGGACTCTGTGGAAGTGAGAAGGGGGAGCAGAAACTTGCACTTGCTGACAATTGATGTCATTGTCTTCCTCTTCCTTGGTCTCCAGCCAGTCGAGGTCTTCCTTGGGGAATGCTGGGAAAACTCTGCAAGCATGCTGGGCTGGCTACTCACTCCCAGCTCCTGGCAGCAGATCGATCACACTTCCATGCCTAAAATGTGACTGATCTACTTGAAACCCTTGACAGCATGCAGGCACATGCTTCTGACCCATGACAATTATAGGCCAGTTCCCAGTCAATCCATGGTTTGGCAGTGTTGGAGTGATGTAGCTGTGATGGTCCAGGAAATTTATGAGAAGCAAGGATTTTTGTGGGTCATCTTTTTTTGGACTAACGGTGTGTTTGGGATAGACCTGAGGAACAGTACTCTGGTATCTGAAATATATCTATCTAACTTGTTGATATCTATCCCAGACATACAGTTGGTCCACTAACCTATCACCCAAAACACTCCTTTCCTTTCCCAATTATTGACACTCTGGAAATAGTTTGATTGTCATGTGCGTCCGCACCCCACGTGTAAAAGGTCTAACTTGAGAATATTAAAGAAAACTTTCCTAATGTCACAAAGGTGACCATGTTGCTGCTTTCTTCAGGTGCTTTGTTTAATGAGTTGCTGAGGTGGTCAGGTTATCAGTTGACCAGGACACAGTGTAGACAGAGCGGACAGAGAGCCGGACTGAGAGGCAGCCTGTGGTATCCAAGGCTTCTCAAAACAAATGTGCAGCTTTATTTTACCTGCACTAGGTTGGGAAATGTCATGTTCAAATAGATCATCAGACTGTTTTGGGGAACTGCCCCCCTTCTTGTCTTCTCCCATGTGAAACTATCCAGGTGACTGCAGAGAGTCTTTGTGATGAGCTGATGCTTTAGGGCTTTGGCCTCCAACTAAAGCAGAGCAGCTGCTTCATGAACCCCATGGACACTAACAGAAAAATTTGGGTGCCTGTAACTCCTCGGCTTTGTGGGCTTGGCAGTCATGATATGAAGCAGACCTTCCCCATCTGTCTGGTCCTGAGACCTGTCATTAGAAAACACCCGCACCCCCAATGGCCAAAGCAGCAGTTTCTGCTGCTCTGTTGGACTCACTGTGTTCACACAGGTGCCCGTAGTATCCTCTGGTGCAGTGGCAGGCTCCCGTCACTGAGTCGCAAGTCCCGTTATTCTGGCAGGCACAGCGCAGCTGGCAATTGGCACCATACATCCCTGGGGCGCATTCTGGAGGGGACACATTTTAGAGAGGTGTCATTGCCAGATCAGACAGTGTGGCAGAGGGAGATAGCACCCTGCTTCAGCTCCAGAGGTGGGAGCCTGAGCTTTGCTGAGCTTACATGCCAAAGGCTGTCCCAGCTGTGATGGGTGGCTAGTCACACTGAGGCAGGATGTGATTCTGCCATATCACTCTTTTGTGTGCTACTGGCTACAGATCCCAGCTGGCTTTCACCCTACTAGCTCAATGAGCACTAGGCTCAAGGCAAACCTTCTGACCTTTGGAATCAATGAGATTCTTATACCCACCCATCTGGCAGACTAGGTGACCCCTGGCTGCCCCACCCCCCCTTACGCACTCTGTGGGATGCCATGACGCAGTGCATGGTGGAGTACACAGTTTATACATGGATACAAACCACAAGCCACTGGCTGCACGTGCAAACTTGACGGTTTTGACCACCGCCAGATGGGCATTCAGCAGGGGCTGAGAAAGCACCTCCAGTGCATTTACCAAGTTCACAAAACATCCCGGTCCGCCCCAGGCCACACAGGCAGGAGCCATCAGCTGCACGACAGATCCCTCTGCCCTGGCAGGTGCACGTCTGCTTGCATCCAGCCCCATACCGGTTCTTCTGGCAGGCTGGAAAGGCAAAAAGAGGAAAGAGAGGGACCACGCATTACATTGCCATCTAAAGGGCGCAGAGTGGTGCAGTTGCACCACCTTTCATTCCTGGTCCACCCAAATGTTTAAAGCCAAGCGCCTGGCAGCAGCAGCAGCATTTCTAGTCAGGCAGCACTGAGGGAAACAATTAACTTCATGGCTCATTATAATCTATCTGATTTCTTCTAAACTCTTTATTCCACAGGCGTTAATGACCATTTTAATGGTTTTGAATGGTTCCACTAATCAAGCTATACCATCTTCTGCAATTCTGCTGTCTGTTAGCTACTCCTGGAAATGTAGGTCCTATTTCATAGCCCTGCAGACTGTTTTTAACTCTAGGCAGAAACATTAACTCAGGTATGGAAAACGTCAATCAGGTGAACATTAACTCAGATGCAAAAATAATGTTCAGTAACTAATGTTCAGTGAAGCCTTGGATGTACTGTCAAGATGCTCAAGAAGGCTTAATTTTATCTTATGAATCTGAAAGATAGATGTACATTTAATTCTAATGACTACAGAACTAATGAAAAAAACCTTTTGATTATTTTGCCTAGTTTGTTGTAGTTTCATAATAATATATGATATAGCAAATTAACATTCCAATGAATTCACATTCCAATGAAAGTTTTTTCTTTTCACTTAAGCTGCATAATATAGCCCTAACCTCTAGGCTGTATGCGGTAGTGCGTTACTTCGACCCAGCTCTGCGGCATCTGTATAGAATGGGTATTTCTACGGCCTTCAATCAGCTATTAGATAAAAGCACCAAAAAAGCCCCACTAAAGCACCCAATCTATACAGATGTGGGGCAAGCCGGGTCCAACTAATGTGCTGCTCTTCTAGGCATGTGCTGGGCTTGGCACAGAAGTGTGCCAAATTTAAAGCAAAGCACTGTTTTTGGTTTTTTTTAATGTCTGCAAGCAGCCCTAGAATATTAGTAAAGCTTTTAGGGGTTTTTTTTAACCAGAGAAAATGGGTGCTCTGTTATATGTGATGACGCACCCCCCCAACTGCACCCCACCTTTTCAAAATCTTAGATCCACCCATGCTGTGATCCAGCCCATCCTGCATGAATGGAGAGAGCTTCAGAGAAGCCAGCTTGTGCCTCATACATGTTATTAAACAGCACAGATGCTCGCGATTACCTTGCTCACATCTGGGACCAGTTCTTCCTGCTGGACAAATGCAGGTGCCTGTCACAGGATGGCAGGTCGCTCCTTGTCCGCAGGAGCAGAGCTGCGCGCAGTTCTTGCCATAGCGACCAGCAGGGCAGCCTATGGGAAGAGGAGCAGCTACTTGCCTTAGAAGGTGGTGACTCTAATGCAAGAGCATGCCTGGAAGTGGACTACAGTCTGGAAAGGGAGGACTAGGGTTAAGCCTGCAGGGATGGTGACTGGGGGTAGAGCAGTAGGACAAGGAATAAGAGTTCTTAGGCTCTTTGGTGACTGTGGAAAAACTGAAACAAGAGTAATCTAGCCAGTGCTCACTGCTCATGCTAAAACCTTCACCTGGGCAGTAGCCAATACTTGGTGCAGTACTCTCCATTTGCTGCTTAAGAGAGATGCTCTGCCTGTGGGGTTTTTGGGTGGTGCCTTGCAGCCTAAGTTCTGCTGTTTTGTGAAGGGCTGAGGTACACACAGGCTACATGAGCCTGGCTCCTAAGGCAGCTGCACAAGCAGCTCATGCCGGGATTCAGGGCTGGGTCTGAGGTTTGCTTGCGTACTCACTGATGCTGCAGTCAGCTCCCATGTACCCCGCCAGACAATGACAGGCCCCGGTGGTGGTTGCGCAGTGACCCTCATTCTTACACTGGCACTGCCTCTCGCAGTTGGAGCCGTACCATCCTGGCGAACACCCTAGGAAAGGGAAAAAAGGAACCAAGGCTTGGAAGGAAGCAATAAAGCCCTGACATGGGGAGCAGATGCCACAAGCACTGATGTACACTGTGCACAGGCCTCTCAACCTTTGTTATTAAGCATTAGGCCAGTAAAGGACCCAAGATTTCTTAGGTCCATTTGCAGGCAGCTGGCAGGCCATGTGGTCTGCCAATTCACATGCCAGTGCAAGAGTTATTCTACCAGTTGCTGAGCCCAGCTGACGTGCTGGTCGAAAGAAATATAAATCAGGAAAATGTGTCAGCCAACACACTTCCTTCCCTATGCAGAGACACAAGACCATGAGAAGGCAGTTTCCTGGTTATGTGAAGCGAGACAGTGACAGTTCCCTGTACAGAAATCACGCGGTGAGACAAATCGATACATTCTGCGGACAAGCTCAGGCACAACAGCCAGCTGGGATTTCAGGGAACCAGGTCTTCCAAAGAGTGTTCATAAAGGAGTGAAATGCTCTCACTGGACACCAGTAGGTGTTGTGAAAGACAAATCATTTTGCACAGCAGCTGAAGCTGCCTCCTCCTCCCTACACTTGTAGATTTAGCACAGAAAGCAAAGCACAGAGCATGAGACAGCGCTGACAGCTCTTAGGTGCTGGCTGCCTAAAAACAGCCCCATTTCACATTTTATCCCTGGTTAGCTAAATCTACAGAAATACGACAAGCAAGCAATTCGGTCCCCGTGGTCCCAAAAGGGCTCCCACAGAAACGTTACTTCTGCAGTGGAAATACGTTTTTAAAAATCGCTGCGTGTAAAGTTTTGAGCAAAATAAAATGCTCATAAAATGGGCAGGGACATTTCTCAATGCTTCAGCAGTGTGCATGTCTCACTGTCCTGCCTCCAGCTAGGCAGGCAAAAGGAGATTGTGACGGCCCATCTACCTTGCTCCATGGCAGACAAAGACTGATCCAAGGGGCTCTGCTCTTAGGGGAAAACAACGGGGAAAAATGCTTCTGCTGAAAATGCTGATATCCCCACAATTCAGCTGGGAAATGTTTGAGCCTGCTACTTGTGTCCCTGAAAATGGTTTTTGATTAAACATACTGACAGCCCCTGAGTGATCGAGACAGAGAGAATGCACAGGTCAGGGTATGCACGTGACTCTGTATGTAGGTGTGAGCCTGAGGGGCAGTGCTGGGTTTCACTGTAGAGGGTCAAAGGCATCAGGACACGTGTACTCAGACAGCATCACCTTCCCATGAGAAGATCTGGGATATGTTTAAAAAAAAATCTGGGCTCAGTTGCCCCCAGGCTTTGCTGAGTTCCAGCCTTGACTAATACCTATGGCTTCAGAGGGTTTCCTCTCTTCTGCCTAATTCAATGTGAATGCTACATGGGGAACTTCCTTCTGGCACCGGGACACCAGCTTCTGCCCCAGGAACCCTTATTACAGCAAGAACAACAGCATCTCTGGCACCCTGCCCCCTTGCAGAGATTATCTCTCACTTTTAAAATGCACCCAACAAAATGTAGAGCAAACTCACGGAGCTGGCACCGGGGGCCGTGATAACCTGGAGCACAGACACACTCCCCAGTGATGGGGTCACAGTCCTGGTTTGCACCAGGGCAGTGGCAGACCTGAGCACAGTTCACCCCAAAGGTCCCAGGCAGACAGGCTGTAGGAGAACAGAGACAACAGAGCATTATTATGAAGAAGCACACTCTTCCCTCTCTTCCACCAGAGGAAAGTGTATTCTGGGGAGGGAGGACAGGACAGGATGGGACACAACATTGCTTTTGGAAGGAGCATGGGCACAGCTGCTAGGGATACAGTGTTGGGGACACAGAGATGGCCTTTGCTATCACATATCCACACACATGCGGGAAAATGTGCTTCCATGCCTCCGGCTCTCTGACTTGTTCATACACACAGGAGTTGCATCTTTTTCTGTTCCCCTGCAAAGACCATGGAGGGAGTAGGCACCTTGAACTTCTCATTGGCACCCTTTGCTGTAGCACAATCATGCAGACATGCACTGCCTGCGAAAGGCTATACTGCTCTTTGGCAAAGCATGGTGCTGGCTTCTCAGCAACCAATGATTGACCCGCCCAGCTCCCAATCCCTGCCGGGAGCTGCAGTGGGACTGTTCTCTTCTCCGTACATCGCTCGCATCCATGGCCTGTGAATCCTGGTGGGCAGCCACACTGGCCAGTGATGTGATTGCAGGGAGTTCCTGGGGGACAGCTACAGTGGCCAGCGCAGTCCTTCCCAAATGACCCAGGCAGGCAGGCTGTTGGAAGCAAGACAGGGGAGAAGTCACAGCAGGAGTCATACATGTTCTTGCTAGCACCTACAAGCAGCAGCAGGTCCTGGGCTGATGCTAAGGTCCTGGGCTAAAACATTACTGCTTTAGTGGGATGTTGTGAGACACACTGTCCCCCAGTTGGACAGCTCCTGTACAAGGAGATGGATGGTAGGAAGGGGATGCCTCCATTAGCAACCAAATCTGAGGGCTTCTCTGAGCCATCTCCCATCCACCTTCCCTTTCTTACGCAGACACCAGAGGCAAGCAGGGGCATGGACAGCAGGGGCAATGGCAGTGCCAGCTGCCTGGACTGGGAGGGATGATGTACCAAAGGGGTGCAGGGCAGCTGTGACTCTTTGGGTCTGTGGCCCATCTGCTAGGGTGCCTGCCAGATCCCATGACCACCCAGTGGGCAGAGGAGAGTAAGGGAGGGGGGAGTGGTCTCTGGGGAATGTGCTGAGCTCAAACTCCTTCAGCAATCACAGAATGGGCTGCATTTGTCACAGCAACTCAGCGGTAAAACCCACCCTGGAGAACCCCTCGCTAATCCCCAAAGCCAACTAGCACCACTCAGGGCCAGATCCTATTCCACCTCTTAGGCACTTCAGTGCAATCCTGTTCCACCTTGCTTGAGTCCAAAACTGGTTAACTCATCTGACAGTAACAGGTCATCAGCTCTGCCTTGAGACTGAGTGCCATCAGGCAGTGAGGAAGAGGCAGACCCACCTGCCTTTGGCAGTCATCATCTGCCAGATCCTGAACCTGGCTGCAATAGCATCACACTTAGGCACTGAGGAGGTGGAGCAGGATCTGCCCCTTGTTCTTTAAATCTAGAGAAATCAGGCGTTTTCCCAATTCTTTTCCTGCTCTTGTGTTTCAGCTGAGCAAGACAAAGAACAGAAGCAGGCAAGACCCCTTGAGCAGCAATGTTTAACAATGAAGGGAACATCTCTCACCTCTCTCGCAGTGCTGGCCCCGCCAGCCCCTGGGACAGTCACAAACACCGGTGACGGGATGGCAAGAGGCTCCATCCCCACAATCACACTCCTCCTCACAGTGTTCGCCAAACGTGCCTCTGGGGCAAGCTGCAGAGATTCAGGGAGGGAGGGAGACGGGTCAGTGGGCAGGGAGGTGCGGCAGGACGAGCGCGTCTGGCTGAGACGCAGCCCGAGCCAATTCAAACCTTGTTCTCACCACATGAGCTACACTGCCTGTTTATTTAATGTCTCTTTCATTTGCTACAGTCAGGGGGCGGGTTTTGTGTTTCACTGGAAGTTGTGGCAGCTCAGAAGGGACTTGTCAGCCTGCAGAGCTGGCTGAGAAGAGCGACTCTCATGCTGGGAACAGGATCAAATGCAGCAAACCCAAGCACTTATTTCTTCCTGATCGTGGTGACGAAAGGCACCAGACTGACCGCTCTGGAGACTGGGGTTCTTCATTCATCCCACAACAGGAGGGCTGGCACTTGTAACACCACACGCAGCCCTTGCCAGGCTTCCCAGCACTGCCCAGCATATGCGTGACAGGATGCCTGTGCCTCAGGAATGAGTGTTTGATTTCTGCAGCCTTGTCCAGGCTTGGCCTCTTGGCTGAGCCCCGCAGCTAGAGAGCCAGACTGAACCGTCCAGATGGCTGTTCACCTGTCCCAATGGGAACATATCCATTGGGACCAAATGCATTTCACACAGGCCACTGAACAGTCATCTGACAGTTAAATCTGTGCAACCAGGTTTCACAACAACTGTTCAATAATGGGAAGCACTCACGAAGAAGAAACACCATCGCTGCATTATACAAGCAACCACATAAAGACCTAACCTGTCCATTTACTGTGGAGGAACTGACAGTCAGCACAGGTCTACTGAAACATGGGAAGGCAGCAGGAGTAGACGGTGTACATGATATGAAGCAGACCTTTCCCATCTGTCTGGTCCTGAGACCTGGTACAACACGTGGGACCCCTTGCAAGGCAATGGCTCCTTGATCTGTTCGATGTATGCATGATGACTAAACAAATGCCATCAGTATGGAGGAAGGGTCATAGCTCTTCCCAAATCAGGGAAAGACCTTTCATCACCAAAAAGTTATAGACTGATCTCCCTCCTCAGCATCACCTACAAACCCTATGAACATCTTATCCTGCAACGAATTTTACCCTTGGTAGATTCCAAACTTACATGAGACCAAGCAAGTCAATTCTGTGCAGACCAAGTACTAACCCTCACACAGCATATCAAAGATGCTTTCCAACAGAAGTTGATCACCTTCCACCAGAAGTTTGTTGACCTATCTGCTGCATACAATACTATCCAACACCAGATCATGATCCATAAACTATGCCTTATGACTAACGACTTAGATCTAAGCCAGACCATCTTGCAGAACAGGTGCTTTTATGTGGAACTAAATGGCCAGAAAAGTAGATGGCAGTCCCCAAAGAATGGCTTACCACAAGGCACTGTGCTCGTCACACTTTTACTCAACATCTACATTAATGATCAGCCTCTTTCTGCCAAATATCAGCATTTCATCCATGCTGACGATCTCCGCGTTACCAGAGAGAAGAAGAATTTTGAGGACACAGAGAAGATCCTGGAGAGGGCACTGAACAAGATGTCAGATTATTATCTAAACAGTTTATCTCAAACTCAACCCTGGCAAAACTCAAATCTCAGCTTTCCATCTGAGAAACCAGGATGAGGAATGACACCTAAACGTCACCTGGGGTGACCAGAGTCTTGAACATCAAAAAACCTCGTCTACTTCAGGGTAACACTGGACCATATACCTTGCTATAAAAAAGCATATATTAAATATCAAAGCTAAGGTCAACACATGAAGCAACATTCTGCGTAAGCTTGCAAATTCCAAGTGGGGAGCACATCCATCCACCCTATGCACCACTGCCGTAGCTCTTTGTTTCTCTGTGGCTGAATATACCTATGCCACCTGGGGACACTCAAGTCACAGTAAACACACTGACACCACCCTCAGTGATACATGTACAATTATAACAGGCTGCTTAAAACCCACCCCTGTTCCCTGCCTCTACGCACTATCTGGCATAGCACTCCCTTATATCAGGAGGAAAGTAGCAGGCAACACTGACTGGCAGGTACAAGAGTCAGATGACCACCACCCATTATATGGACATGAACCAGTGCACCGTCATCTCTCATCGAGAAATACGTTTTTGTCCTCTACCGCACCATTGACCACATCACCAGAATCAGCCAGAACTACCCTCTGGCAAAAACAATAAGATAGACTAGGCAATAAAGCTGTTGAATAGAGCTGGTGAGGAATTACTCTGAGTGAGGAGTTAGGATCCGACTCCAAGTACAAATGGCATACGTGGCAGAGCCAGAACAGACTGAGAGTGGGTCTCAGAAGATGCAACTTTCTCATGAAATCGAGGGGCCTCTATGTAACCAACCAATGTGTTTGTCAGGAGAAGCAAACCATGGATCATCTGCTGAGATTCCCTGTAGCATCACAATGCTCCCCACAAGATATAGCAACACCAACAAGGGAGGAAAGAGCTTATTCAGGCAGGAAGTCGGGGAAAAAGGAAGCTGTAAGCAAAGCATGCTGTTTCTGCATAAACAGTCCTCCGTGGCTCGTTTGGCGTAAAAGTCACCCTCTCTAGCACTGCTAAATGTTTTTGGAAGTGTTATTCCTTTGCACTAGTTAGCAAAAGTTGGATGCCAGGATAGCCTCATTACAATGAGGGCTCTTTAGCAACAAGGGCTACAATGTCCAGCTTTCCTGTTCCTGCTGCTGTCAGGGAAGAAGGAAGAAGTTGGTTCTTACAGCAGATGCCACGCATGTTGCTTGAATTTTAGAGATTCATTGCCCAAATGTATAACTGTACACTCAACATGCAATTACCCTGGCTGAGTTCAGCACCTACACATGCAAATGACAATAGGTTAGTTTTGCCCATGCAGTGGCTGTAATGAGGCATAAACAGGGCACATCATTATGCACATTTTGCACGTATCTTTCAACATCTGTGCTTTCTAAAAACATGGCCCTAAAAAGAAGCCAAGTGAGGGATTCTGAACTTTGTCAAGAACGGAATAGGGTAGCAGCAGATGGAAACTGCTGGGGTTTTAAATTGGAATGACTGTGTAGGCTGAAATTCACTGGCATGTAGGAAACTCTGCCTTCAGAGAAGCAGAGAAAGTCTTGAATAGTTTCACTGCAAATTACTGCTCCAGTTTGAGTGACCCATTGCTCAGACTTACCCTATGAAAAGGAGTGACTTGACCTGTGAAAGGTTCTGTGAACACCATTCTTGATTGATAGCGCTGTGCCAGGACCCAGGCAGGGGGTGAAATGCACTCGGAGGCTCAGCTACAATCAGGGTGCCTGCCAGCTCCCCAAAATGGTGGCTCCTAAAGTGAGCTGTGCGGTTCATGTTACAGTATTTAAGGTTGCATTGAGGGCATGCCAAGCCCACTCAAACCTCTATATGGCAAAGATCTCATTATCTGCTTTTCTCTTCATACAGAAGAACCAGATGGCTAAGAGCCAATGCAAGCACAAGAAGGTAACAAACAGGCTGGCTACAGAACAGTGCAAGCCTTTTAAATCTTGTGCTGAGAGCTTGCTTCTGCAGATAGTTTTCTTGTGCACTAACAGGAAGGATAAGTAGAACAATACCCTGGCACTGCCAGTTGTGATTTCCATCAGAATACCACATCCAGGCCTGGAAAAAACCTGAAATAAATTTAACAGGCAACATTCAAACTCAGGCTTGGCCCTGACATACATTGGCTCAATCTTTCAGCTAAGGAGATGAGCACAATTCCACTCAGCAGAGCATTCAATACTCCATTAGGAGATGGCTGAAGAGCTCCTGAAGGCTTGGGTCCAACTGGGATCCAAAACCCTTACTGTTTCCTTTAGCATTCAGTTTGGCTACCTCATGAGGATGCATCCTGTTTTTGCTAAAGTCAGAAATTGCTCCAAACTGCCCTGCTTAGAGCAAAGAGGTGCCTGGAACGGGAAAGCTGTGTTCACTTCTTCTTTAACAAAAGTAAAGTGGCACCAAAAGGGTTCAGAGACAAAAAGCAGAGACCTGGAAAGGGCTTCTGTGCAAAGGGATGCTGAGAGGGAACAGGTCTCCATTTCCTAGAAGGAGAAATGCCTGGTATAAATGTCTCAGGCATACCGCAGATGAAAGTGTGACTGCAGCATGGACAGCCATGCCTGTGTTGGCTTTAATCTAGCTTACCTGGGTAACTCCAGCAGCTGAGACAAGGTGGCCACAGACTTCAGCATGGACCAACAAGCTAAGTACACACCTATTGTGTGCACTTAGTTCCACTGCCTTGTACAGCTTGCACGGATGGCCCCTCCAACCCATCTTTGCTGCCACGGTTATCAGTGCTTGCTGGATTAAAGGTAGCTCAGGATGCCTACCACTGCAGAGCAGGATGTTGATGAAAGCAGCGGCACACCCACAAGAGGAGACAGACAAGGTTTCCCAGCTTGGCAAAGGCCCAACAGCTCTTAAGAGCCACCTGACCTTAGTCCCACATGGAGAAATGTTCCAGTGATGTCACGCTACAAGTCACAGCCTGCTCCTTGCTAGCAACCCAGGGAACAAATGCAACAACATACCCATAATGCCAGCAAGAGCTCAGACCCAAACATTTCCCTCCCGCCTTGGAAGTGCCAGGGCTTATCCTCAGAATGCTGCTGAGGGGGGGATGGAGAGCTGCCAAGACCCCTTGAAAGGGGAAGAAACTGGGGGTGGATTTTCTGGTACATGATCCAACCCCTGAGGCTCCCCTTTCTAAAACCAGCAGCCCTTTCAACACGACCTCATTGCAAAGGGATTGCCAGGGTATTTATTACAGCGGAAGATAAGGTGAGTACAAGAGCCTGCAAAACACCAGACCTAATTACTGGCTGAGGCTTTGAATTCTTGCCAAGCATTTAGGGCCTATGCACTGGTGCCAGAAGCAGAGAGACACAGAAGTGGCGGGTGGGGGAGAGTAGGTAAAGCTAGAGTGCCAACAGCTATTCCATTCGGGGGTTAAGGGGAAGTCTTCCTGCAGCTTGTCTGCTCTGCCCCTTTTTCTAGGCTGCCCACAGCTCATACAGGAGCTGGGGCATGGCCTATGGCCCCAGACAACCCACAGGCCTGTTACTCTCCTGCCATTTTGTCAGTGACTTGAGTAGGAACAGGTTACACATTCATGCAGTAAGTGTGTAAGGAAGGAGCTGAGCTGCACAGTGCTGAGAACATGCCCAGCACTTTGGTTCTGTTCAGGTTCGAAGGGTAGCGAAGAGCACAGCAAAGCAAAACAAGTCTATGCAGATAAACCTATGGCACCTACAAGTTTCCCCTAGAGCTCTGCAAGCCAAAGCTGGAGCCTTTTGTTTACTCAAAAATTTCCTGGCACCTAGAATGAGCGCACGATGGAAAGTATGTGCTACATTAGGCAGGAAGGCCTTGTGCTGACTTTGTATAGCAAAGCAGCTTTGTGTTTTCTTAAAACAGTTACTTAGTCTTTCCTGACTCTTGGAAAGGCTCTGTGTGGCATCTGGGGCTTGTTCAGCATGAACAGCTCACTCTGGTCTAGGGGACCAGGCCCATAAGCAAAAGCTATCTTGCACTTACGGCTCTCACACTTGGCACCGGTCCAGCCAGCCTGGCAGAAGCAGTGGCCTGTCTGACGGTCACACAGCCCCCCATTGTGGCACTCACAGCTCTGCCGGCAATCCATCCCGTACTGCCCTTGGGCACAATCTGGGGGAAGGCAGAGAAATGACAGAGATGGCATTAGAAACAGAGCGTGACAGGGACATAACTCACATATGCCAACAAGCAACTACTCTTCAGAGAAGGAAAGGAAAAGAAAGGAAAGGGAAAGTGTGGCTTTATCCACTATGGAGTCTACTCTTATTACCAGGTGGCTGTACGACTTGAAGCCACTGGCCCATGAAGCTCTAGCTCCACAGGCTGCTCTGCTCTCGGGTGCAGTTTCAGTATGGTCTAGGCCACAGAAACCACAAACCCTTAAGGGCTCATTTGGGTTGGTTGTGGCAGGTCCTGCACACTCCAGCATCAAAACCATTGGCTACATAGTTCAAAAGGTGCCAGAACTGTGTATTTTTGCTTTTTCACTGGAAATGTGGAATTCACTCCCATCTTTGTGACATTTTAAGGCAGGCACAGCTCAGACCACATTCCCTGAAAGCCCACAAAGCTGCTTGCCATTTCCTGCTGCCAAATGACCACTTAACTTGCAGTTTCAGGGCATGAGCTTGACTAAAGTGAAATGAAGGAAATGCTCCTGGGAATGGGACAAGCTTGCAACAATTCTCCGCAGGTTCAGAGTCACTTCAGGCTCCTCCGCTTTGGGACTCACTCACCCAGCTCACATGCCAGTCCGGTCCATCCTTCAGGGCATGTACAGCGCCCCGAGACCGGGTTACAGGTCCCACCATTCTGACAGAGACAACGTTGGTGGCAGCTGGCTCCATAGAAACCCTGTGGGCATGCTGGGGAGAGATCAGGACATAACTCAAAGTCAGGAAACAGATGTCGGTACTGGTGTTTCAGTGTAAACGGTCAAACCTGCAGACAGCATGTGGGGGTTGGGAGGCAGAAGCCATATGCGAAATTAAATCACTGTAGCTAGTGGCAAGAAAATGACCCAGTAAGTCCTAGATTCCAGACTGTGCCGCCTCACCAGGAGACTTTATCACATAAGCCTTTCAGACAAAGTGCCTCATGCCAAAGGCACTGCTCTGGGGAGGGAAGCAAACACCACAGCAGTGCACAGGCCACAGAAATGAAAGTTATTATGTATGCTGGATTTGTCCCGTGCTCTCCCCCCCCTCTGAGAGCTTTACCAGGGCTCCTCATTTACCCACCTTGTGCCCTGATTTCCTGAGCTCTTCTTGATGCCTCCTTTTACCTAGTAGGGAGTCCAGGATGGAACTAAGGAGGGATCAGCTCCATCAATTATAGACGTACCCATGGCCCATCTACCTTGGATAGGCCACGGGACACAAAGGGGCATCTCCCAAGCTCAGCAGGCCTGGATGTATAGATTGGGGATGTGACAGTGGCCTGAGTGTTTGCCAGAGAGCTCACTCTTGCATCATTGTTCTTTCCTGGCCAGGTCTATGACATGGAGCCTTCTTGAGTAATCCAGTAGAACAGGGTGGGGAGAGGGTAGAGTAGACATCTGAGGGATGAAGGACAGGGTGTAGTAGTCCCAGCTGTCTTTGCAGAAGCAAAGCTCAAATTGCTTTCCCATGTGGAGCCCTTTGACTGTGAGATAGGATCTCTTATGCAACCCTGACTGGAAGTCCAGTCTGACTACCCTGCCCTTTCCATTCTGCCCTTCAGGTTTCTTTTAGAGAACCTCTTCTCTGATTAAGGAGGACAGGACTCAGCAAAATGGCACCAGGGACCCGGAATAGTGAAGGTGGGGATGTACATAAACCCTGGCATGCCATCCAGGGAGCTTGGGGAGTCTCAGAAAGACATGGCACTGAAAGCATGTTGGAATATAGGAGATTTATAACTGACTGGAGCCAGGAAGGTGGTTTTGGCTCAGTCACTAAATAACATGCTTTTTAATTCACTCACCAGCTAAATGAAACTCAGCAGAGGCTGCTATGAGCTTGGCTTTTCCACAGGCCAGGCTAAGGAGGGAGTCTTTCATAACAGTACACTTGGAAGAAAAGAGCACTGACACTGAGCTACCTTTGGCCTGCACTCTCCTGCCATGGCAGGGCTGCTAGCAGAGATGTTTGTCATCTCCTTCCACACCCTGCAGTGAGGTCCACAGCTTGTTACTTTATGCTCTGGTGCAAAGGACATGAGCTGGGAAGGCCCAAGCTGGGCTTAGCACCAGCACTAACAGATCCGGTCAGGGGCCATGAAGAAACTAACAGAGATGAGAACTGTCAAGGAAGAGGCTCCCTCGTTATTGGAGGTCCATCACTCAAACGAGGAGGCTAGTGGAATAGGTGGGAATGAGGGGCGTAAGTCACTCAATGGCATGGAAGGCATACACGTGACTTGTGTGCCCTGGAAAGCTTGGCAATATTGAACGTAAAACAAAAGTAGTATGAATGTTGTGCTCACAAATGCTGCTAAATGGGCAGCGGATGCCCTCCGTCTCAGCCTGAAGAATATCTAGCTCTTGCAAACCAGGACAATGCCACTAGACAAACTTTGCTATCCAAGAGTCACAGGCTGTACATCACCACTCACGTGGAAAAGCAGCTTCTCTGTGGCCAGCCTAGCATTCTGGTAAACAGATTACATGCACTACCTAAAGTCTATGTAGTGCTTCACCCGGCAAGGCCCTGATCCAGAAAAAAGCACTTAAGGCACAGGCCTCACAGACCTACTGCCTTGGCCTGGCATGCTTTGTTGGCATAGGGCCCGAGTGCTTAGTGGGCTACAGCACTAAGTCTGATAGAGTTCTGCTATAAAACCATTAGCCAGTGCTAATGGCTGGATGGACTGAGCTGGATGGACTGACACGTGCTGCACAAGCCGATGTGATTTCACTAAGCACTTGGTACCTCCAGCTGCCAAGGTGATCCAAACTACGACCCCAAGCAGAGTGGTTGGCTGATCTGGAGCTTGGATATCCCCACGCTACGAATTCCACAGGGGCTTGGGAGTTTGCTTCCTCAAAGGCAAGTCTTTGATCCTCAGGACAAGAACAAGGGACATCCTGGATTAAAGAGCAAATGTATGCTGCTCTTACCTTGCTGGCAGGTGGCTCCTGTCCATCCAGCTGCACAGAGACACTGCCCACTCATGGGGTCGCAGGAAGCATTGTTGAAGCAGCTGCATAACTGACTGCAGTTCTCCCCATATCTGTTATCCTGACAGGCTGCAGGGAAGCAGACACAAGCATAGCAATTGGGCCACAGGCATTAGTTATACAATCCGGAGTTTTTCTTGGGATTCAGGAATGCAGTTGGTATGGAGAAGTACCAGTAAGCACACCAACAAAGACGTTATGAAGAGGGCTGGCTAGTGGCCAGTGAGAGAGCCCATTCAAGTCTGTGGATTCATGTGTGAGTGATGGAGGGAGAGAGAGTGAGATAACTACTTTATATGGTATTATGGGAAAATAACAACCTTGTTTTATCATGTGGCTGTAGCTTATATCTACAGATTTTATTTTCCCCTCATATTTTTTCAAGTTATCTAATCTATCAGGAAGCTGTTTTGACTGATATCCCCAAACCCTATTGCTATGTGCAATTCTGGGCTCCTAAATAGAGCCATTCAAAATGTTTGGAGTTAAGCAGACATCATTTGCCAAAAGACACCCTGCGACTGAGAGCCTGCTTCAGATAAACACAATTCCACTCCAGGGCCAAAGTGCTGCTAAAGGACTTTGGGCTCCAAGGCTTGGTTAATGGTCTTGCAACAACATATTCTCTGTTGAGGTTTGTGCTTTTTCCTGTTGGCAGTCATGCTGGATGCAGCTCAAAGGCTGACCATCTTGACACTCACATCTCCAGTGCTGGCTGGAGCCTGGCAGTAAAAGGCAAATGTAAAAACATATGTCAAAAATGAGAAAAGCTAATTCCGCACTGTCATGACCCAATGATTGTGTGTGCGCTTCGGCACTGCAGAATTATTTCCCGCCACATGGAGCTTTCTTTGCACAGTGCAATTCTCAGCTGCAGAGAGAAAACCCCGGTGCAGAGGAGTTCCCGCCACCCGTATGTAAATTTGTTTCCCACTATTGGCTGTTTCTAAATTATTCCCACGTGGCGGCTAGCGATTAGCTTGCTAGTCATATAAGAGGTTTGAGCAGTTTCCGCCCAAGTTGTAGAGGACTCCACAACCATCTTGTGGGGACTCTGAGCACACGGCAGAGTAATAGAAACTTTGTGCGTGTCTCAGAGGAGTTCGGCGGCTGATCAACCACCAACCTCTTCCCATCTCGTTCGTTAAATTCTTAAGACGTATCTACGGTTTTGCGTGCTCGTCAAGGGTATCCAGAGCTCTGTTGTGTTTGTTTTGTGGAGCCTAGCAAACTCCGTGCGTGTGTCTTCGGCGGAGCCTAGCAAACTCCACTTGTGTTTGTCTGTAACTGCAACTCAAGAAAGTTTTTCCTGCCTGCACCGCGACCACCTACGGTGTAAGTAAAACAATCTTTAATCAACCACTACGAGTCCGTGCCTAATTCTAGTTCGTCGTGCCAGAGTCCCCGCACTACTGTTGCGGGCTCCCGGCCACAGCCCGCCGCGCGCCCCTGAAAGCCTCGGACCACTCCCGGCCCGCACACGCACTTCCAAGGATTCCCTGGGCTTGGGACATAGGAATTCTCAGGGTGACAGGGCTCCCACTCCCCAGCTGGCACAGCTGTTCTTGGCATTACATCAGAAAGCATAAAAATAAGAATGGAGAGAAGTGATCAAAATAGGAAAAGTCTGATGAAAACGTCAAGCAGACACTGCAAACGTAAGCAAGTGATCCAGAGAGAGAGCTTGGTGGCCGATATCTGCTCCCAAGCTACCCCTGAGACCCCCTCTTCCCACTGCTGCTTAGGCAGCGCATTGAGAATAAAAGATTTCATTACTTCAAGATTTATGTCAAGCTCTTGATTACTTTGGCACGAGTGACAGCACTTACTGATGGGAAGGCAACAGCAACACTTTGTGTGTCACAGACAAACAGCCCTGTATTTTTTGCTCCCCAGTGTTTGTTCTCCTAGAGTAAGTGGTTAACAAGCTGCTGGTGCTTCATGAAAAGGTTTGAAACATGCTCGTGCAGTGACAACTCCTTCCTGGGCAAAATCCAGGTGGAGCAATTACCATTAGCCAGTGTAAATTTCCCCAGCAGTTTCAATCTCATATGGGTTTCTCTGTCACACACACACACACACACACACACACACAGAGTCTATAACCCTACCTGCTGCCTCTCAGTGTGTTGTCAGTCTCAAGCCTGAATAACTGGAAAGCGAGGAAAGCTGGGCTAAGCCCCTAGCCTGGGGTACAGACACATGTAACAGCTATATGACACCAATGTAAGCTGCTTTTAGGAACTTGTGTCTTCATGCTTCTGTAGTGACACAAGTGTGACCAAAACCACAGCCATGTTATACCCCGTTTTATTTGCTAGAGAAGTGTGTAGACATAACAGTTAAATTGTAAAAGCTGATGTGCATAACCTTGGACTTACTCTGGTTACAGCTCAGGCCGAGCCAGCCTGCTGGACAAGTGCAGCGCCCTGTCACGTGATCACAGTGGGCTCCATTCAGACACGGGCAGGTTTCCTGACACTCAAGTCCGTAAAACCCATCAGGGCAGGCTGCAGAAAAAGAAATACCCTGAAAGTTTGCATGAATGTCAGTCTGTACAACAGGGCTGGGCAGGTCCCAGGGCAAGGGCCAGAGCACAGAACAGCTCAGTCTGCTAGTGCAGTCCTGATTTCTGGGGTTTGTAGCATTTCTGGGAGTCATATGTTATGCATGAACTGCTCTAGGAAGCAAGATTAGTTTCCTTATATTACTAGGAACCCATGCCAGCTAACCCATGTGTATCCTGGAGAATGAAGCACTTCTGACTGGTCTGAGCATGGGACCAGGAGCCTGGGCTCTGCTCCTTCCTCTAACTCAGTGGAGGCCAACCTTCCTGGGCAGGCATGCCACAAATTAGCTCTGCTGCACCCTCCCCAAGTGCCACTTCACTCCCCTTCCCCTGCCCAATCTACTGTTTGGCTTTCTGCTTCCTTCCCTGTACTCCCTGCTCGATTTTCTGCTCTGTTTTCTGCTTCTTGCCTGTCTACTGTTGTGCTGCCTGTCCCCTCCCCAATCTGCTGCATGCCACATGCTGAGGCTGCCCAAGCCACTTGTGGCACTTATGCTGTGGGTTGGCCACCCTTGCTCTGACTGTCTCTCTGCCTGTGGGCAATGTGAGACCTATTAACCCCTTTGGGTTTATCATGAGACCAAGACCTGTGCTGCCTCTTTGCACAGGGGGGATTTACCCATTTGTCAGCTGGGAGGAGCCATTCACCCGCTCTGTGCCTCAGTTCTCCCACTGATATACAGCAGATAGCACCCTGTGAAGGGGTGAGGCCTCTTGCTTCTGGGGACCCTGGAAGTCCTTGGCAGGAAGCCATCATGTAAACATGAGGGTCTACAATGTTATTATCCTCATTTGCAGAGCTGGGGGAATGCTTGTTCTCATGCATTCAGCTCTACGGTTTGACCCACCTGTACAGCAAACCCTGACTTCAGGGTTCACTGGTAGGATACATTTTGCATTTCCTAAAAACTTCACATACCCTCCTTCCGCCTTTCTGCCAGACACGAAGGGCTCCAGTTGGCATGGGAACACAGCCAAGTCTAAGGCTTTAGTGGCTTCTTACCTCTGGCTGAGAAACAGGCTCATCTTTTGCCTCCCAGGACTGTGTGACTGTTGGCAGGCTCAGAGCACAAAAAGGCACTCATTTCCTTCTCCTATGGTGTCTGCCATAAATCTACAGCCAAGGCAGCAGCTGGCACTTGGCATCCCTGCTGTAAGGATAGCAGGGCATCCTCGCATGGTTTTCACTCAGGAGGGTCTGATGCAATACCTGCTGTCAAACTCAAACTTAGAGGCTGGCAGTAAAATCTTACGCTGAACTGAAAACTCCTCCTCGTGTCTCGCTCAGCTCAGGACTGAATGTGTTTATTCGAGTGTTTCTCAAGCAAACCAAAGGTTCTTACCGTGCTCACAAAAGGTGCCTCTCCAGCCAGGGCTGCATGTACATGCCCCGCTGACATGGTCACACATGGCTCCATTGTCGCACTGGCAGCGGTGTTGACAGTTCAACCCAAACCATCCTTCAGGACACTCTAGGAAATATAAAACAACCAGAGTTGGCCAGTGCCCTTCCCATCACAGCTATTAGACTGTTGGCTCCAGCCTTGGCAAAGTGACTGTACATGGAAGTTGCCTGCTGTGAGAGCTGCTTGTTTGAAACCAACTGGTGGTCTCTGGCTCACCCCTTGGGGAACAGGTATCTGCATCCCCACACCATCCACTACCACTAGCACCATCCACAAGGATTAGGGAGAAGGCTGGGCACAGAAAAAGAACAAAGTGCCGTCAGCTTGGCTTGCTACTCTCTCCACTTTCAGTGCAGTAGAGAAGCAAAGGCCTTCAGTACCCAGTCTCTACTGTCTCCTCCTCCTACCAGAGAACAATAATACAATGGCTTAAAGCTCCTGCCTCTCTGGCAATTACTAGAATGGCCTAGGGATAACACTCACTCTGGTCACAGTGGGGGCCCATGTAGCCAGCTTCACAGATACACTGCCCTGTCACCAGATTGCAGCTCCCATCACTGTTGCTGCAGTTGCAAGTGTTGGCACAGTCCAGGCCCCAGTGGCCAGCATCACAGGCTGAAACAGAGGAAAGGACACATCCTCATGGCAGTACCCTTCACTTCACTTCCCTCATGGACAAGGACTGTGGGGTCTGGGGATAAGGTGGGGAAGGGGGGTCTTCTCTCATGTCTGCAGTCCCATCAGTGAAGATCCCTGGACAGAGTCCTCAGACTGTGGGAAGGTCTAAAGAGCATAGGTGGTGCATTAAGAAGACACTGCCCAACAGCATTTTGACAGGGTCCAGAACACAAACTGCACCCTACTCAGAAAGGGGGATGAAGGGGATGTGGATAAGCAGGGATAGGCTTACAGGTACAAGAGGTGAGAGGCTCAAAGGGACATTCCCTGGCAGAGGCACAGCACAGACAAGACAAATGAAGGTGAAGGGTGATTAGCTGCAGACAGCTTGATGCATAAAGCAGTTTGCAGCTGTCTTTGCAACAGGCCACAAGACATAGAGGGTACGGTACCTCTTCTACAATTATACCCAGTCCAGCCTGGGGCACAGCTGCATTTCCCTGTCGTGGGGTGGCAGTGACCGTCGTTCCCACAGCTGCATCTCATCTGGCAGCCCTGTCCAAACCAGCCAGCCGGACACACTGCAAGGGCAGAAATACGATACATGCAAGCTGCTGCTATAGCAACGGTGTGGGGCTTACGTGTTACACACACTTATTCCCAAGGGGGTTCTGGAACACACGCACTGGCATTTGCTGCGACTGTCTACTTCCCAAACCCTGCCTGCCCAAGCCTAGGGGCTCCCTCCTGGGCCAACAGGGCATAAGGTCAGCATTCTCTCTGGCATCAGCAGGTCTAATAGGCTGGACAATAAAAAAGATTAAGCTGCTCACCCGTGGGCATTTAAGCTTTTTGATCAAGGTGGTAACCACATTGCAAAGCAGCTCTCTGAGCCGATCAATGGGGCCCAGAAACTGACTCACTGTGTGATGCTGGGCCAAATGCACGACCCCTTTGTGCCTTAGTTTCCAGATGTGATTAAGACACCTCTGGTATCTTGTAGAATCAAAGATGTGTAGGACTGGAGGAGACCAGGGAAGGAGATATGAGGCTATTCAGGCATGCTTTGCACCCCTGGCATGTTCAGTACAAAGTGCAGTAGCAACAGATCACTGTATTGGCTCCTCCCGGCCTAGGTCATACAATTCCTAGTCCACTCCAGTGCAGCTCATTCACCAGGACATGCTAAGAACATGGATGGACTGACAGCACTTACTGTCTTGACAGCGGCTGCCCCTATATCCAGGTGGGCACAGGCAGGCTCCAGTGGCAGGGTCACAGCTGGCACTGTTTTCACACTCAGGGCAGATCTCCTGGCAGCCAACTCCCCAGTGGCCATCAGGGCAGACTGAAACACACATAAAGAAGCAAAAAGGAAGTCAAGCCAGCATTTGTGTACAACTCACAGGGCACAAGGTGCAAGTGATGGGTGGAAGCTTGGCAGCCCCAGAGCTGAAGCATGCTGGGGATTCACAGAGCTGTTGCATTTCTCTGCACAGGCCACTTCCAGAGAACTGCTGAGGGTCCCAGTAGGGGTGGTCACTAAAAGCAACTAGGATGGGCACCCTTTGTCACAAGAAAGTTGCTCAGGGCCCTTGTTCAGCCTGTTTTGCCACTTCTTCTTCCAGCTGCTACAGCTGCTCATCATACCAGTACTCAGAAATGATAGCTGCAAATCACAGAATCATAGAAAATTAGGACTGGAAGGGACTTCAGGAAGCCATCCAGTTTAACCCCCTGCTCAAAGCAGAACCATCCCCAACTAGATCATCCCAGCCAAAGCTTTGTCTAGACAGGTCCTGAAAACTTCCAAGGATGCAAGCAGGTGATACAGCAGCTCTACAAAGGGAAGTTTTAAAACATGAGGGCTTTTCCCCCCTTTCCTCTCTCCCAGGTGCCTGGGGAGGCCCTTCAAACTCATTTGCTTTCAGTGATACTGGCCACTTCATAGTGCTTTGTTGTTTTTCACTTCCAAGCTTTTCCTTTGGATCCCAGAATTCTCAGGAAACTTGAATCCACAGGCAAGTAATGACAAAGCACCAGCACCTAAGAAGATGAGGCTGCATACGAGGCTTTCTGCTTCTGCACCCAGAGCTCAGCAACATCTTAGGCTAAGGGAGGAAGGGAAATGTATAACAAGCGAATGGCAGTGTTAAACTCTCAGAGCTAACCTGAGAAGGCCTCTTCTCCCTCCTGATGCACTCCTTCCAGGGATTTGAACAATGTGACTGCAACAAAACACGTGCTGGAAAATATGCCTGTTTGATTTGAGCGTGTTCTTCCAGATATTCCAGCCCCGGGGTGCTTGCACACCTTGTGTACCCTGCCATGGCACTATTTAAAGGGCCTGGGGAGTCTCTTTGATTGTGTTATTATGACTTAAGTGAAGCTTGTGCTCTTATGATCTGGAGTTGCCTCCTTTCCAGCATGTGGAGCTGGGAAGTGAGTGCACCCATCAGAGCTGCTGGGGTCAGCTACATTTATGACAGTGGAGTCTCTACAAATACCATTATTCTGGGCTGTTCCCATCTGTCTGGAATGCTGCTCCCGTCTTGGCCAAAAACATTCTCTCTGTTCCTGTAGCATCAGGGAGGCCAAACCATTCCACACTGGGATTAGAGAGACATGCATTGTCTCCAAAATGCTTGGTGACATGACCTCCCACACAGCACCGTACGAAACACTAATCAATTCCTGAGCTGACTTCCTGAGTTTACTTTGTTCAGTACATGCATTGGGCACTTCCAGCCTGTTTTCTTGACCCAAGTTTCCTTGAACTGCTTCTCATACTAGACAGGAACAGAACATTTTACAGCACATGCAGATCTTACTCTCACAGCTCCACCAAGCCATGAATCTCACACAGTGCCTCTTCAGAAAGAGCAGAGGGAATGCAGGGGGATTTGCCAGAGACTGCACAGTGACTGATTCCAGCCACATCCACTAACGTAGAACAGGATCTGCTCCAGCATCTTGGAGATGTCACTCTACCGTGCTGCATCTCTGGTAGTGAACACTAATGATGCAGCAGCTGGGCCTGTAACCACCAGGCAACTGAAGCACAGCATCAAACACTCAATGGACAAACCATAAGCAGGGTCTGTGCTTCTTGACCTTGTCAGGGCCTTTCTGTGAGCACTTTCTGCAGGATGCTGACTACTATCCATTCTCTGAGGCCAACAGGGACTGTAAAAGTGCATCACTGTACAAATGGGCAGCTAAACACTTCCTTTTCTTGTGCACTGAAATACATTCACTTTCTTGCACACTTTATACAAAACTTGCACTCCTAAGCCTCCAGGGAGGGTAAGAGACCTGAGGGCTGCATGTCCTTTTAAGGGCAGGAGGCCATACCCTTTCGGTTCCACTCACCTCCAGAGCTTTCTGAGAGGCAGGATAGAGATGGCAACTCAGGTAGGCTCAAGCAAGCAAGGAGGGAAGAACTAGTGTTGGACAGCTCTCAGCAGAAGGCAGGGATGTGTCCGAGTAGAGAAAAGCCTACCAGACTGGTCCTGGAAAGAAGCCTGCCAGGTCTGGGAGGTAAAGCCAGAGGCCCTGGTAAGTTTGGGCAAAGCTGGTCCATAAAGCTTCTGAGCACTACAAAGTCTGGGAAAGGAGCCCTGAGAAGGCTTTGGGAGAGATATAGGGGTGTAGGTTGCAGCCGTGTTGGTCTAAGGACATAGGCAGACAAGAAGGTTCTTTGGGTGAATCTGATATCTTTTATTAGACCAATTTAAATCGTTGGAGAACAATTTTTAAGCAAGCTTTCGGGTTCAAAAACTTGCTTGCTTAAAAATCGTTCTCCAACTATTTAAGTTGAGGAGTCAGTCCTGAGGAGGGCAGTGTGGGGAGCTAGCAAGCTGTAGGATTGTGCTAGACCACAAGGAAAGACAAGGGTCACGCATAGGGCCACAGGAACCAACTGGAGATGTAAGGGACTCCAGTAGACAATGGGAGTGGTGCAACCTGCCTGATGACATCCAGACCATAGTGGATTCTTCTCAGGAGCAAATGATAGATACCTGAGTGCTATTCTGATTTCACTCCAATATGCTCTCTTGGCTCTGGCTCTTAACTCATGCTGGTAAGGTCTGAACTGCTCCTTGGTAAGGAACAATGTTTTTGGCAAATGATCTCCATTCACGCATGTGCACTGCTAGACAAAACACTTTGCTCAGAATTTCTGGAATGTGCAATCCCTTCCAAAAAGCTGAGAAGCGCTCATGCTGGGACAAATGTCTTTGCCCAATAGATCCCAAGTCCCTCTGATGGCTGAAGGTAGCCACATTCAAAACATATATAAAGTGTTCTACATTCCTGCATGCTCCTTACATCCAAGAGCTCGACTGAGCAGTAAGAGATTTAAGCATGACTAATCTCTCCCAGCTGCTGTAATATCCCACAAAAATGTAAACCTTTAGCTTTCTTTTCACCGGGGGGGTCTTTGGTTTTTCAGCACTTAAAGGGTTAGATGGTGAGAGCAATAAAAAATACATGCCTGAAATAGAAAAAACTCCTTTGCTGTGTCACTGAAAGCCTACAGTGCGACAGCTAGAAACCCAAATCACATCTCAGCCCCTTAAGAAATGTTTTACACTTTATTCAGTTTCAGTGAGGGATCTGGGGTTGCTGGTTTGAACTGCCTATATCTTGTACCCTGAAATAAAGATGCAGAGTGTGAGTATGACTTCCATGGAAAAGAAGCTGCTGGAAGAGATTAGCATTAGAATGTAACAAAAATAAAAGCCTGTCTTGACTTTCTCTCTTTCCCGTAGTTTTCTTACCTCTGCCACAGTCATGTCCTGTCTTGCCAGGCAGGCAGCGGCACTTCCCAGTGGCTTGATCACAAGGAGAACCCCCGCAGGAGCAGGACTGCAAACAGTTAACACCAAACTTCCCTTCAGGGCATCCTGCATTTAAAATAACAGAGCAGACACCCCATGTCACCCTGATGCATTCCTCAACAGGAAGGATCTTGGCCATTGGCAGCTCAGATCCATGCCATAGCCAAGGCATCACACGTCTACACCTTAATGCTGTGGGCCAAAGTGTAGCTGTGCCCCACAAGTTCAGAGGGGAAGCAGTGTCCCAAGCCCAGAGCTGTGGTGCCTGGATAGCAGGCTGCTGAAAAGCACTGGGCAATGGAACAAGACGGACTCCACCAGTGCTGTTGAAGGTATCAGAGAAAGCAGGCATCAGTGGGCATGGGTGCAACTACTCAACTCCACACCCCAGTTCCCACCCCTCAAGCAGGGGCCTGTGCTATGGAGGCAGCACAGACATTTCCCAGAACCACACCTTCTGTTTCTTGTTTGAAAACAGCTTTTGTTGCTTGCCTGGCCCACACCTATCTCTTCAGGTAAGACTCCTGTGTAAATGGGGTCTAATGTCAAACTGGATTGTAGGGTTCAGATCAGAGAGATCTAGATAAATTGGAGGATTGGACCAAAGGAAATCTCATGAGGTTCAATAAGGAGAAGTGCAAAGTCCTGCACTTAGGATGGAACAATCCCATGCACCAGTACAGCCTAGGGACTGACTGGCTGGGCAGCAGCTCTGCAGAAAATGCCAGAAGAGGCACTGCATTAGTTTGACCTGGTTCACCCAGCATCTGGATAGATTGAATGCTTCAGCGGGGCTTTTGGGGACTTTTATCTAATAGTTGATTGAGTCAGCTCTTAGATAAAAGTGCCAAAAATCCCTGCTGAAGCATTCAATCTACATGGATGCTGGGGAGCCGGGTCAAACTAATACTCTTCCTTTTCTGGTAAAGCATTGTTTTTTTTCCCCTCCACATCTGTCAGCAGCTGTAGTGATACAAATGAGATATATTGCTTTAGCTACGGCCCTGAGTTAAACTGGGCTAAAGTTGGAGTGGCATGGCTAAAGAATCAGGCAGAAACTGTTACATTGTAACATCTCACATCAGTACCCTTCCTTTGGAAGAAAAGAAGAGAGATCCCAACCTATTCATTGCTCCAGACATCAGTAAAGGATTGGGAAAAGGATGTCCATGTGCCTGTTTCCCTGTTTGTCTTCCTGTAGTAGTGAAGAGGTGGCCCTGTCCACAAGGGACAGCTGAACTCAAAGCAATGACAAGAGGTGTTGAGCATCAGAGGAATAAGCAGTTTTCATTTCCTCCACTTGCTGTGTGAGGAGGAGGAGGACATGTGAAAGCTTGGCTCTGCCTTTTTTTTAAAAGCCAAGTTCCACACAGGCTGAGTGCCTTCAAAACGAAGACCCTTCATATCCTACTTGAGTCTCTGCTGAGAGCTCCAGGCTTCTAGTGCTTTTGCTCATAGGCCCCAGGATTTCTTTAGATTCATAGATTCATAGATGTTAGGGTCGGAAGGGACCTCAATAGATCATCGAGTCCGACCCCCTGCATAAGCAGG